AAAATGAATTTTGTCAGTAGTTTTCATTTGTTTTTTGTTTTTTTTATCTTTTTAACATGAATCTTTTAACATTCCTTGTGTTGGTCAAACAGTCACTTTTAAGTTGTTATTTAAGATAAGAGCTGTTTGGATCTATGCTTCTCTGAATTCCCCTGGTCAGTTTGACAGTTTTATTGTTCCTGGTGAGGGGATGTGTCTCTGTTAAGTGTTTGTGTGTGTGTTATTTGACTCATTAGGGAGTGAGTGAGTATGATGTGTATAAGTGTGTATATTCGTGTGTGTGTGTGTGTGTGTGTGTGTGTGTGTGTAAATGTGAGGCCTCCACACCTCCGTAAGCATGTCTGTCTTGTGTGGGTGAGAAATGTGAGTAGGTTTTCATTTGTTGGGTTATATATTAGTACTAGCTATATTGTTAAATTTATGGTTTAGCCTTATGTTTTTATTTATTTATGATTTAGCCTTATATATATATATATATATATATATATATATATATATATATATATATATATATATATATATATAAGTGCAGGTATGCAGAAAATAGAAAAAGACTCGTCAGGTGCATAATCCGGAGTTCCTTAGTATTTTGTTTTTATTTTTAAGAAGACAGTGCTCCATACCGAAGTAGAGCTTTATTATAAAACAATATATATATATATATATATATATATATATATATATATATAGTATGACGATAAACTACGTCAAACAGCATGGCCTCTGATCAGGAGGTTTTGAGGAGTGTGGAACCACCTCTTAATTGCTGGTGTTTTTCGGTCCATCCTGACCCAGGGTGGTAGCACCTGTTAGGGTCCCAACTATGGGTAAATAGTTAACCACCAAACTTGGATCAAAACACTAAGTGGAAAAATAAGTTTTAATAGCATAAATACTTTGAAAAAAATATTACCAGCAATACATTTTTGAAAAAAAAAAATAATAATACCAGAAATACAAAATTCTGTCGGCATTAAATAACCCATTGTGGTTGATATGCCGCAAACTAAAGCACCAAACCAATATATATATATATATATATATATATATATATATGAATTGAAAACGAATGTAATAGAAATTCATAAATTTCATAGATTTGCATGTTAAATTTTTTTATTGATAGATGCATAAATTTAATACGTTTCCTGGTCTAATTCAACTCTCACCAAAACAGTTTTATAATCGTAGTTTAGTTTTAGTTTCTCCTTCCGTCTGTGCTGTAAGGCGTCGTGGGGAGACAAAGGGCAAGGCGTGTGGCCTGGAGGTGAGATATCTCGTGGGCTCCAGCGTGTTTTTTTCAGCCTCTTGCTAACCGCCAGTGTATCTGAGGGCGTATGCTCGTAGTCGTAGAGCTGGTTGGTTGATAAGCATACGAGTGAGGTGTGTTTGTTGTATGATTGGTATTGCTCCTACCATGTCTCTAAATGCCTCATTCCTGCTCTTGTCTCGCCTGGTCTTGTTCACTGCTTTCCTCTTTTTTTCTGCTTTTTATAATTATATATACATATATAACCTTGCCGAGAGGCGAAAGTCTGTTTGATAGTTGAAAGTAAGGTTCAGGCCATCCTGAAGCCTGAAGATATTATTCAACTTTTATATTTCCCTGATATCAAGAACTTTTACCTATAAATATAGCATTATATATATATATATATTAGAACACATTTGCAAATGTACATATATATATATATATAAATATATATATTTGCAAATGGGTTCTGAAAATGTTTTACCTTTGAAACTGTTCTTGTTTTCACACAGATCTTTACAGCGCACTATATATATATATATATATATATATATATATATATATATATATATATATATATATATATATGCGTGTGTGTGTGTAATCATATGTTTGACGTGTGTCTAAATATGATTCTGTTCGGACTCATGCACACGTATATATGTATGTTATCTGTGTCCGTTTGTGTTTCTGGTGTAATTCAACTCAGACCAATAACTGTTTTTTATATATATATATATATATATATATATATATATATATATATATATATATATATATATATATATATATATATATATATATATATATATATATATAATCCTGCTGAAGAGAAAGTCTGTTTCATGCTTGAAATTAAGATTCAGGCCATCTCTGGTATTGAGCACTTTTACCTAGAAATATTGTATTTTATATATATATATATATATATATATATATATATATATATATATATTTGCAAATGGGTTCTGAAAATGTTTTACCTTGGAAACGTTTCTTGTTTGGACGGAGATCTTTCAGCGCATCACGCGCACACACACACACACACACACACACACACACACACACACACACACACACACACACACATATATATATATATATATATAGAGAGAGAGAGAGAGAGACAGAGAGAGACAGAGATAGATAGATAGATAGATATGTTTAGTTTGTTACTAAATCCGTTTCTCTCCGTACTTATGCGCACGTATATAAGTATGTTGTCTGTATGTTGTCTGTGTGTGCGTGTGTATAAGTGCTTGCTTGAATGTCAATTTCCTTTCTCCCACCCCTAACACCTAATACCCACACCCACCCGTTTTTCAGCTATTCCTGCGGAGTTTCAAGTCTCCGGAGATTTTTCTTTGTCAAGAGCCCGCTGCGAGAAAAATTGCAGATTTTAGACCAACAAAGCATAGCTTAGAATTACGACGATCCGCTGACATGTATACAACGATAAGCGTTCGTTGCCACCATGCCGACAAATGTTTGAACGCAAAAGCTGTCAGATTGTATTATGCAAGTCAACAGCGTCAGTATGGACCAACAGAGATTGGCAAAATGGTTCCGGAGATATTTACAATTATACAATGAAGACATGTCTTTAAACCTCCATTTGCTTTTCATAGATTTTATTTATTAATTATACTATATTATAATTATTTTATTCATTTATTATATTTATTTATTATTTAAATAGACCCTCATTCCTCACACATGCACGCGCACACACATACACAAGCACACACACACACACACACACATATATATATATATATATATATATATATATATATATATATATATATAAGAAGAAAAACTTAAAGTTTCATTTTTGTTATAATTTATTTCTTAAGAGTTACTAACAGTTTTCAGTTTGAAGAGATTATTATATAGAGATATTGACGAAATAAATTATAACCGAAATAAATATTTAAGTTTTTCTTCTTTATTATTATTATTATTATTATTTGTATTTTCTTTGATTTCTGGCGTTTACACATTTCTTTCCGGGTCCCGCCCAGGGACCTAAGGTTAGAAATGGCGTCATGACACTTTCCACTGACAAAAAAAAAAAAAAAAAGATTACATAGATATGCCCTTCGTAAGGTGTGGGCTGTACTTGTCAGAACAATTTTCTGTATCTCCTTGAGGCATGGACTTCCAGGAATCCCTTCAATTAGTCTACTGAATCTTTTTCAACCATTCCTAGGGCTCCAACTACAACAGGGATTGTTGATGTTCCATATGCCACATTTTCGCGATTTCTATTTCCCCTTGTACTTTGACAGTTTTATTATTATTATTATTATTATTATTATTATTATTATTCTCTGTAGTCTACTTGACATCTCCCTTGTTAATATCATCCTTCGAATTTTCCTACCAGTCACAAATTGGTAATATATATATATATATATATATATATATATATATAGATAGATAGATAGATAGATAGATAGATAGATAAGATCAAGGACCAGTAGAATAAACAAAAATATCAAAAATAAAAGCCTGTATACAAAGTTTAGAACGGCTCATGATCAAACATAATAAACGTTCGTTGGCTGATTTATTTAACAATATCTTTGAATAATGATCAGCTGCCCTAATACACTATATATATATATATATATATATATATATATATATATATATATATATATATATATATATATAGATATTAAAAATTTAAAATATCCACACAATTAAAATAATGTTTCGACATCATTTATGTGTCTCTTCAGGCGATGTTAAACTACTGGCGAATGAAAGATTTCAATTTCATTTAATATCCTAAAATAAATATTTAGCACTACAATGTATGGGGGACCTCTTTTAAATTAAATGTTACGTACAGTGAAATTATACCCCATTTTTTCTCATTTTGCTTGTATTAGTCATTCAGAGAAAGACTGTTTGGCAATGTTACACTTCATCGGTGTGGCTAGATATGTGATTGCTTTAAGCCGGGATCGAATCTCGACAAATTTGACATCAGTCGAAGAACCTTACCCCTCAAGAGAGAAAGGAAATTTTTAACGCATTATATCCGTGATATATAAGTGTTATACCGGCCGCCATAGCGCTAATGTCTTACAAAGAGCGTTGAATTAAAGCATTTCATTTTGCCTAGTGGTGCTCAGGCGGCGAACGAGCATAGTCATCCAGAGAAACTCTTTCATATATATATATATATATATATATATATATATATATATATATATATATATAAATTCTAAAAAAAAAAAAAACAGACGAATTTAAGGCACAATTAGTCATAATTTATTTCACCAGATATTTTATTTTTCTCTGGATCTTCAGATTTCACTTTTAAGGGCGAAAAAATGAATTTGAAATGAATGTAGTATTTAACACCGTCACTTGATAAAACACCAGAAGTTTTGAAACAAAATGGCTATTTTTGTAGTGATTTTACAACATATTTATGTTATAATTTTCAAATAAATAATTACATTTGCTCAACTTTGTATTGAGCACTCTTTTAAGAATTGTATTTGTTGTTTATTGTTGGTTATTGGAATTCATCCCGTATAACCCAATCTATATATATATATATATATATATATATATATATATATATATATATATAATAAATGTAATAATATCGGATACAGTGCGTGTGGGAATATTAAAGTGGAAACTGTGGTCAACACCATGGGGCGACACTCTGTTACACGCTCCAAAGAAATCACCAGGGCTTGTGGAGTGAAGTATGCACAGAAGCATGAAACAGATTGTTTATTTTCATATCTATCTATCTATCTATCTATCTATCTATAGGTATATATATAGATATATATACAGAGAGAGAGAGAGAGAGAGACAGAGACAGAGACAGAGACAGGGACAGAGAGAGTGAGTGAATGAGAGAGACAGATAGGAGAGACTGACAGAGAACGGAATAGATAAATAGATGGATATAGTTCTATTTGTGATTTCAGTATTATCCTCTTTGAATTTTAAAATATATTTTGATAAAAAGGCGTAGTTAGAACGTTGTTTACTTATGTTTAGAAATGCTATATTCTATTATTATATATTTCTATATATTTCTAAATATATATATATATATATATATATATATATATATTGGTGGGAGGTTAGAACATTTGCTTTCTGGCCATGTGTCCATGGTTAAATTGTCAGAATTTGCAATATGTGTGTAGAATTTCACTAAAATCGTTCAAGAAATTTGGACGTGTATAAATAGTATACAGACACACAGACAGGCAAGGCAGACATCTTATATATATATATATATATATATATATATATATATATATATATATATACAAAGGGTCTTTCATTTAGACGCATCAAAATCAGCAGTAAATAAATCAGTTTCACTGATGAAAATGTATTTATTTCTCTATTAGATCATGTGATTTAAGTCATGGTAATTATGTGCGTAAAAAAATATCGCACAAATATCCGCCAAATCTGAAAGAAAAAGAAAAAACGTCACATTTGAAATCGGTCCAAGTTATTAGAACAACCTTAATATATATATATATATATATATATATATATATATATATATATATATATATATATATATGGTATAACAGCAAAATTGTCCTATTGTTAGATGAAGCTCTGAAGCGTTGTAACTTATTGCAATTATTGAAATGATTAAAGTTATCTTACTGGAATTCTCTGAAGTTTTTATAACACTATTGGACTCTAATTTGAACAATAAGAATGTATAATTACACTCTAAGTTTAACAGAAGAATACTGATGAGATCGATCTTAGACGAAAATGACATGTTCATTAATTAATCATATCTAAAGATCATGAAGTATTGAAATAAAGTTCATATATATATATATATATATATATATATATATATATATATATATATATATTATTCCAGGATCATTCTCCAACTTATTCAAGATGATCTACGCCCTCTCAAATCTTCTAACTTCCTGTCCAGGAGTAACAAGGTGCCTCACAAGTTCATGTAAAATTTCAATTTCAACTTTTTTCCACACTGCTCTTTGCACTGTCATAGCTGAAATTTCTCTCTCACACGCGAAACTTCTTACAAATTGAGTTGGATTTTTTCTAATTAATTGCTTTATCTCTAAGTTGAAATAATGGTCCCTCTTTCTGTTGTGACCTCCTGATCTGTTACCTCATTTTTAAACTTATTCACCGTTCTCTTGATGGTTCTTGAATAGACTTCGAGGATGGAGTATGAATTTTGGTAACATTACTGAAGACCTGAATTATCTTTTTCCTCTCATCAATTGATCAGTCGAGAAGAAACAATTTTAATCTGCACTCTTTCTAGCAGAATAACTCAAAGATTTTTACATTCATTCTTGCGACAAATATTGTCAAGATGGCTAAACGTCTTATTTGAAAACCTGGAATAAAGATGACAACTAGTTTACCTTTTTTTTTATTATAAACATTTTGTGGGATTGATAATTATTTCTGTTAAACGATATGGACAATTTTTGCTTACACCGCTATATATATATATATATATATATATATATATATATATATATATATATATATATATATATATATATATATATATATATAAAAAACAGTTATTAGTATGAGTTGAATTACACCAGAAACACACACGGACACAGATAACATACATATATACGTCTGAATGAGTTTGAACATAATCATATTTAGACACATGTCAAACATATGATTACACACACACATATATTTGTGTATATATATATATATATATATATATATATAACAAATATGTGTGTGTAATCATATGTTTGACATGTGTCTAAATATGATATTATTTGTGTGTATATATATATATATATATATATAGTGCTGCTGTAAAGATGTGTGCAAACAAGAAGAGTTTCAAAAAGGTAAAACATTTTCAGAACCTATTTATGTACACACACACACACACACACACATATATATATATATATATATATATATATATATATATATATATATATATATATATATATATATATATTTATATATATATGAGCATTTCACCATAAGCAAGGTGGGGGTGCCACTTGCAGGCCAGGAGTTACAGAGAGTGAAAGCAAGAATAAAGAGATGTGTTTTAGGAAAGGATAAAAAGAAGGATGGGGATCAAGTTTACGGCTTCGGGATATGTCGATTGACATTACATTTAAATTTTTGAAGATTATATTTATCAGGGAAGCAAGTAAGGGGAAAGGAGTGCAAGAGAAGAAACTGTCGGAGTAGAAGCGGCGGTTACATTTAACAATCAGTGAGAAAGTGACTGGAGACGAGATGCCAGGTCAGTACCTATCTGATTGCATATCCGTCTTTAGATTTTGTCGAGAACCACGAGGTAGTATATGTTACCAGACGATATATGGCAACAGTATTCAATGCAAGGACGAATGGTAGATTTGTAGATTTGAAGGAGGAACTCAGACGCGAAAAAACCTTCTGGCGCGACACGGTGGACCAGCTTTCCTTGCAGTAGATGTAGCTATTGATTCAATGTAGTTGTTCCACCTCAGGTCAGTGGAAAACGTGAGACGAAGAAGTATCAGAGAGACGATCTCGTGAAGTTGAGCATCTGCCATGCTGATAGGATGCAGGGAGGTTTCGCGATCGTGGGTAAATCAGAGCAGTTTCTCTTTTTGGGGGCATTAAAATTTAGAAGGCATTTCTTACCCCAGTCAACCACAGATTGGGGGTTCTTTTCGAAATCAAAGGCCAGGTTAAGTTTGTGAGCAACACTGGATTTACTATTGAGACAGAAGGAAATGGTAGTGTCGTCTGCGTAGATGACTACTTGAGAACTGATATCAACGGGAAGATCAGAAATAGTATGATACGCAGAATAGAGCCTTGGAGAAAACCAGTATTCGTATGAAAGGGACTGGAGAACCCATTTAGGATGACCTTCATTTCACGATTTGACAGGAATGATTGGATTAAATCAAATAATCGTCGTGTAATACGGTATCCCTTAAGCCTACGTAGAAGGCCAGAATGTTAAACCCTGTCAGACGCCTTCGATATATATATAGAGAAACAGCCTGAATTTCGCCGTTATCATCAAGAGCTTGGTATACATATTCAGTTATGACCGTAAGCGTATCAGCGGTAGAGCGAGCAAAGCGGAAACCATTATTGTTTGTCGGAGAGTAGATCATGGGAAATAAGGTGCTTAACCGCTTCGGCATTGATTAAAGCCTCGAAGACTTTTCCCTAGAGTGGTAGGAAATTAATAGGATGATGGTTAGGTGGATCAGGAAGGTAACCAGAGTTCTTAAAAACAGTGTCAACTGATGAGGACTTCCAACAGGCTCGAAAGCAACAGTCAGCAAGACCAAAATGTATATTCTGGCGGCAAACTTTCTTTGAAAAAGTTAATATTTTTATCTTATAACAGACAAGGAAACTTTGATGATTTTTTTTACTTAGTTTTTATAATATTCTAACATTTTTCAATTCGGTGGGCGTAATGGATTTTTTTTTTTTACAATTTTTTTCACTGCTTTACTCCCACCAAACGAAAAAATGTAAAAACATATTAGAAAAATTAGTTTTTAAAAAGTTTCCTTGTCTGTTATATTCAACGAAACGTGTTTGAAAGAATGGTTGCTGTCCAAATATACATTATATATATATATATATATATATATATATATATATATATATATATATATATATGAAAGAGATTGTTTGACTAACACAAAGGGCTGAAACAAAATTCATGTTAAAAAGAAAACAACAAAAAAAACACCATTACTTCCGGATTCAAAAGAAAGTACTTAAGTTGTTGAGCTACATGTCGTTGATTTTCTGAACAAACCACCTGAGGAAACCGTATCGGTCGAAAACCTCGCTAGTGATCTGGTCAGCATTCATTTTTCTAAACATCAAACAGCTCTGCAATCAACTTGATATTGAGCACTTTTAATGCATACGATCTTAACAAA